TGAGTTGGTCTTAGAAAACAGTAAAGAAACAGGGAAGGTCTGTAGCAACATCTTTTCTACGACCATGGGGTACCAGAATCAATGACAGAACGCAATCATTCGTGCAACTAAATAAGGGAAAATATTTTTAGCTAAAACCGATGGTGGTTCCTCGCATTCGAAGCCCTATATGTTGTACGATAGGCTTCTTAGGATAATTTAGCCTTTTCAAAAAAAACAAGAAATTACGAAAGCTGCATTGGAAAGTATTTATACTGGTATTTTTGGTCCTCTGTTAAGGTACGATATTTTTTCTCAAAATATCTCTGTCTAAGAGGCGTATAAAGTGAACTAGCAATTTTATCCCTTTACATTCTGTCCTCATAGAGGTTTTGGCGTGCACGTTTTATAGATGTGGTCGATTATGCGAATTAGATGGTACAAGATGAGTTATTTTCAGTAGAAGCTATAAGTTCAAATAAAAGTCTGAAGAAACCCTCCCAAATAGATTGCACTGACCCTTACACGTCAGCGGGCGTATGGGAGATTTGTTCAATATCGAAAACCTAAGCGGATTTTTCTTTCTGTCGACCAATTGTTTCGAGGAACGGCAGTTGAAAAACCCCGTATAAAGTAGATTTAAAAAAATCTCACATGTTGCATGCAAAATCAAAATGTTAGCTCTTCAAAATGCCTTATTACCTTAAAGATATGGGAGTGCATTAGAAATTTTTGATACGGCCCGTAAATAAAGCTATTAGAGGTTTTATACATGTCTTTAGTATTCCCTTTCGAACAAAAACATTCGATGAATTTGGTTGGCTGTTGAGCTGCTGGTTTATTTTGCAGAGCAGCCAAACATAGTTTTCACTTAAAACCATTTTTATTATTCACTTATTATAATGTCAATCGTTTTTTGCATTTTTGCGAAATCTGCTTAAACATTTCAAACCTCCGAGAAAAATGTAAAAAAATTAAATATTCTTCTGTGGGCTGAAATTGGAGAACAACTTCACGTCGGAAAGAAATTTAACGAGTATTGTTTAAAGAGAACACTATAAATCTAATTATCGATTTTGTATAATACAACAACAGAGCAGTTTAGTGGCTATTTTGTTTTGAATTGCCACATAAAACGCTTTCCGAACCGTTTATCCAAATGCAATTTGACGGAAAAGTACCACACATAAAATTTCGGCTTTGCAAAGTTAATTAGGCTTCTTAGGAATTTTTTTGGAAACATACTTGCAGCATTCATTTGGATGATATTGTGGGTGGGAGCACTAAACATAGGATTAGTATTTTTGGCAAAGACAAGGGAGATTGGAATGGTCATTGCTGGCTTATGAGCCGTTGTCAGCCAGCCATACCCAGCCGCAAGTCGTGCCCCACCTGACGCTCGAACTTGTGACCCTTTTGATGAGAGTCTATTGCTGTAACCATTGAGTCTCGAGCTTGTTGTGTTGCCGGTTTAGGTCGGGAGATATTGACATTCATTTATGAACGTTCACCGACCGCTAACAGAACTCACTTGTCCGCCCTGCCTTGGGTCTCATTTCTCGGGCCCTGACAGCAGCCGTAACAGCTAGTATTGTAGGCAGGTAGTTTGAGCCTCGGGTGGTGTGCCACTTGCGGCTAGGTATGACTGACTGACGACGGCTAAGAAGCCAGAAATAGCCATTCCGGTCACCCTTATCGTTGCCGGCAATACTATCTGCCTAAACTACTAGCCACTATAGCTACTGTCATGGCCCGAAAATTTAGACCCGAGACAAGTGCGTTCCGTTAGCGGTTGGTGAGCCCTCCTCAACAAACATCAAGCATGGGATTATGAAGATGAAAATCCCTTAAAAAGATAAACTTAAACATTTTCCTTAGGATTTCACATTCCTTAACCGGAGCTTACTACATATTACAAAAAAATGACCATCCACTCATCAACTACGGCCCATCAATTTTATAGGACTTAAGAAGACTTTTACGCAAACTTCAAACACATGTTTGTTATTTTGATCGAAAAGTTCCAGAGTTGTACTTATTCACTGTAACCAAAGTAGGAAAATGGAAGATGGCAACACGCAAATCCTTA